GAGGCGACTGTAGAATAGTTCTTTACGAAGTTCCTATAATAGCCGCACATTCCTAAGAAAGATTTGACCTCAGTAACTGTCTGAGGTCGTGACCAGTCTCGAATACTAGCCACTTTCGCATCTTCCGGCCTAATTCCGTCCGCGGATACTTCATGACCCAAGTATAGAATCTTAGTGCGACCGAATTCACACTTCTCTAAGTTGACCTTATACTTGTGCTGTCGTAGGAGTGAGAGAACTGTCTCAACATGTTGTGCGTGCTCCTCGGCAGACTTACTAAAGATCAGAATGTCGTCTAGATAGACTACGACAAACTTATCTAAATGGTCACGGAAGATCCGATTCATAGCGTGCTGGAATGTACCCGGCGAATTGCAAAGACCGAAAGGCATCACTACAAACTCATACAGACAGTATCTAGTCTGAAAAGTTGTCTTGTATTGGTCCTCAGGTCTTATTGCGATCTGGTGATATCCGGATTTCAAGCCTATCTTTGTATAGTACTTGCATCCCTGCACCCTATCCAATAGGTCGTCTATGCGAGGTAGAGGCTCTGCATTCTTCACAGTGATGGCATTGAGGCCTCTATAATCAATGCACATCCTCAAAGTACCCCCCTTCTTCGGTACGAATAACACGGGTGATCCGTAAGGGGAAGTACTAGGCTGAATCCATCCCTTCTCTGTCAGCTCCTTGAGTTGCCTCCGAAGTTCATCTAACTCGGCAGGAGCCATCCTATAGATCCTTCCCTTTGGGGTCTTACCCCCTGGAATGATTTCTATAGCGTGGACGACTTCCCTATCAACAACTCCAGTGGGCTCCTCGAACAGATCAGGGAACTTAGCAACGACGCGTTCTATCTCTGGGGGTGTTTTAACGGCATCCCCCTTCTCAGAGACATAAACAAGGTACATACCCTCCTTTTTGTTTTGCTTGTAATAGTTGTAAAACGCTGATGCACATAAGCAACCATAGGTATCTACAATACGGCTGGCCTTGAACTTAGTCAATCTGACAGTTCGGCCATCGGGCAACTTTTGCTTGAGCACCTTCTTATCTCAGTCGAACTGGGGCTTAGCAACTTCGAGGTAGTACATGCCTAACAACATTTCAAATGGCAAGTCGTCGCTAACCAAGAACGAGATCTTATGGTTAAGCTCACCTCCTCCATAGGAGAAGGTACAGACTACGTCCTTGATGTAGTCTGTTACAATCATGCGCTCCTTGTTGGCAAAAGAAGATGCTACGGGTCTACTAAGGTGTCGTACCGGGTTCTGTAGGTGCAGCCTTTCCAAACAGTCACGGCTTATGTAATTCCGCGTGGAGCCAATGTCTATGAAGGCACCACATTTGCGGCCTCCGACATCGACTTCCACCACGAAATGTTCCCCTCTAGGACCCTTCTTTAGCGCCACCCAAGACTCGCGAGGGTCCTTGTTTGACCACTCACCTTCTAAGTCTTCTAAGGCCTCAGACACATCTAACGTACAGAGCATAGTTTGGTCTAGATGCGTCTGCGGGGTAGATAAGGAGTCATTAACTTCGGCCTTGTCATGAAGTGAGGAGGGTATCATTCCCACTTCATCTTGAGGAGAAGCCGCTATCACTTCCACTGGCCCTACGCGTTTCCCGAGCTAGAAGCCTGGGAAATAGTTGCCCCAACCTTTGGTGCAACCTTTTGCGTTACCTTAGCGTTCGGGCACTTCCACTGCGTGTGTCCGTATTCACCGCAGTTGATACAAGCGCCACGCGATCGGCGGTCACGCCACACGTCCTGGTCAAGACCTGCCTTGACCCACTTAGCCTGTTTGGACTGATTGGAGGCGGCCTTCCCTTGACTCCTAGGTTGGCCCTTCCCTCGACCACCTCCCTTAGTCTTAACTACCGCGGCGAGGGTGCTACCCTCAGTTTGAGTCCCATCAGACTCAACCATCATCAACTTCGCCCCCTTCTTCTTCCACTCCTGAGGACTCTTCTTCTTCTTTGAGTCATTCCCTGAGGTGGGTTGAGCATTGCCTAGCGTGGCCTCTAAGTCTAAAGCTTTCCTAGACAATGTCTCAAATGAGTGGTACTCAGTGCGTGCCTCACTGGCTAGTAAGTTCTTCATGTTCTCAGGTAAACACCTGACAAACGTGGTTA